TCCAAAGTGCTGCCTTGGAGCTTCCCCTGACAGGGAGCCCCCAAGCAGGTGTGTCTCCAAACAGGTTCCCCTACAGAGGGTGCCCCGTGTCTGTATTTATTATGAAAATAGCAGGTAAAAACTCAGTAATCAAATATGGCATCTCTGCCACAGTGTTGGGCAGCCAGGCTGGCTGAGGGGTGGTGCATGGCTGACGGAGCACAACACAGGCAGCCGTTGTGCAAAACAGGATATCAGCGCTCCCTCCCCCCAAATTAAACATAGATGCATATGTGACCCAGTTATCCCACTTCTGGGTCATCTTTGAGTATTTGCCCAATTGAAAGCAGGGTCTCAAAAAGATATTTGCATACCCATGTTTACAGCACTGTGATTCATGGTAATGAAGAGGTGGAAACAACCCATGTCCACTCACACATTGGAATATTACTCAGCCTTAAAAAAAGAAGGAGGTCCTGACACCTCCTACACTGTGGCCAAACCTTGAGGACATGATGCTCAGTGAGAGAAGCCAGACACAGAAGGACACACGGACACACACTGATTCCACTCACAGGAGGTCCCTGGAGGAGTCAGATCCAGAGACAGGAAGTAGATGGTGGGGCCAGGGTGGGGGAAGGGAGAGGGAGCTAGTGTTTCATGGGGACAGAGCTTCCATTTAGGAAGATGAAAAAGTCTGGAGATGATGGGCGGCTGGTTGCACAACAGTATGAATATGCTTAATGCCATAAAGCTATGCATTTAAACATGGTTGAAGTGATAGGTTTAATGTTATGTGTATTTTATCACAAGTTTTTAAAATATGGAAATGAAGAAGCTGCTGGTACTCAATCCCGCAGGTCCAAGATGGGAGGGCCCACTGCTCTGCCAGAGGACCAAGGCCTCCTAATGTCCTGACCCACGTGGCGGGGGTGACTCTGACTTTAGAACTGGAGTTGAATGCCCCCCAACCTGACTCTCTGGTCCATACAGGCCATATTTTTTTAAGTTAAGGGTCTAGAGAAAAGAAAAGAGGAGATGAACATCTGGCCAGGCCAGTAAAGAGCAATTCCCCAAGTGAAGACGTCCCCACTGCAGCCAGTCAAGGCCCTGGGGTCCTTGCTCTGATTTGTTGTTGTTGTTTAATTGTTAAGTACAACTCTTTTGAGATCCGGTGAACTGTAGCCCACCAGGCTTCTCTGTCCATGGGATTTCCCAGGCAAGAATACTGGAGTGGATTGCTACTTCCTCCTCCAGGGGATCTTCCAGACCCAGGGACTGAACCTGTGTTTCTTGCATTGGCAGGCAGATTCTTTACTGCTGAGCCACCTGGGAAGCCCCAAGTGATTAGGGTGGTCTAGGACCACTGACAAGCTTCCTCGTGAGACAGAAGAGGCCATGTGTCAATGGAAGCAGTGACTGGGGTCATGGGACCACAAGCCCAGGATGCCTGGAGCCCCCAAAAGCTGGGAGAAGCAGGATGGACCCTCCCCCAGAGCCCCCAGAGAAAGCTGGAGCCTCACTTTCCCCGTTCCCAGAGCAGTGCCTAGCACACAATATATACATAGTCATCAAACACATGAGAACCTGCTGTGGGTCCCCTTAATCCACCTGCTGACCCCCAAACCCTGGCTGGGGCCAGCACCCCTAGAACAGCCTCGGGCAGGGACCCTGGCCTCTGTCCTGGGCCCTCCTGCTCCCCTGGGGCAGCTCTGACCCACCTAGGTGGTGGGTGCCATCAGCATGTAGAGCATGACTCAGCACAGGTTTTCATAAAGGTGCCTCTGTCCCTCCACACATGGGAACATCCCTCAGCCACGAAAAGGAGAGAAGCCCTAACACTTGCTACCACATGGATGGACTCTGAGAACATGATGCTCAGTGAGGGAAGCAGACACAGAAGGACACACAGGGTGTGATTCCACTGGTAGGAAATGTCCAGAACAGGCCGATCCACAGACACAGAGAGTGGGTTGTCAGGGGCTGGGGAGGGAGTAGGGGGTGACTGCTGATGGGGACAATCTTCCTTTTGGGGGTATGGGGTGATCTGGAATCAGATAGAAGTGATGGTTAGTAACCCTAACCCTGTGAATGTACAAAATTCCACAGAATTATTTGCCTGAAAACAATTAATTTTATGTTGTGTGAAGTTCATCTCACAAAAATGTTGCCTTCCTATTTCCATCCCTTGTATCACAGGAGTCAGACGTGGTCACTGCTAACTAAAACTGTCATGAAAGACTATAGCCTGTGAGGAGGCGCACACCTTAGTTCAAAGTTCTCTCTGGGAGAGACATCTGTGCAGACAGGCTGTATTTATGTAACAGCCAAACAGTAATGTCAGCCACAGATGTGGTCCCAAGCTGAGGGCCGCTCACGTCTACTCCTGCTGGTTCTGAAGGACCTGGGAGCCCACAGGGTCAGAAGTGGCTGCTACCCAAGGGTCTCAGGCCCCGTAATCCCTCTTGGGCAGGATGAGGGATGGTTTCTCCACGGAGATCACTGCCCTTGTGTTTGCAAATTTGAGCCTCGGGTCTTGTTCAGACCCAGAGGGCTGGCAGGGTTCCTGCCCTGGGCTCGGGAATCAGGGAAGGAGAACCCTGGCCTCTCCCATGCTTCAGCTCATCCTCTGGGGCACTGCTCAGATGGGACATACCCCCCGGGAGATGGGGATGCCCTCTAAGCCCCAGGTACCACTGGCTGAATCAGAGCTGCTGGAGGACCTGGGAGGTGACTCCACCACCAGCTGGGCCAGGGGTCCTGTTGTTCCCACTTCACCACTGAGAACACCGAGGCTCAGGGGGTCTCAGCAGGCCCCAGGCCCAACCGGGGCAGGACTGAGATCTGCCCCTCATTCCCCACGTTCCTCCCAGGGCCCCCACTCTGTACCTCCCTGGGCTTTGCTCCCCACCCCACCCCCCGCCCCCAGAGCCTATGACCGGGCCCCTCACACAGGGTACTTCAGGGAAGGGAATGTCCGTTCTCCTTAAGCCTCCATCTTTAAGCTGGCCGTTGCCTTGGCAACAGTCTGCAGCTGACCTTTGTTCAGGAAAAAAGGGTGACCCTCCCAATGCAGCCCCCCTCCTCACCGTTCCCCCTACCCCCTGCCACAGAGCGGTTTAAAGGCATCTGTCTAAACAATGCATTATGGATTCTCTGCTGGCGGGCACGGCCTGAGAATTTCAATCCGCCTGTTCCAGGAGGGAAGAGCGTCCTGGGCCAGGGCGGGCCTGGGAACCAGAATGGGGCCTAAGATGCAGTCCAGCCAAGGTCAGAGCCCCAGCCTCAGTTTTTTCATTTGTACACTGGACACTGGTCTTCCCTGGTGGCTCAGTGGTAAAGAACTCACCTGCCAATGCAGGAGACACAGGACATGGAGGTTCAGTCCCTGGGTTGGGAAGATCCCCTGGAGCAGGAAATGGCAACCCATTCCAGTATTCTTGCCTGGAGAATCCCATGAAGAGAGGAGCCTGGAATGCTATAGTCCATGTGGTCACAAAGAGTCTGACATGACTGAGCCACTAAACAACAACACTGAATGCTGCAGAACCTAGCAGGTGGAGGTGACCGGCTGGCCATGCCAGGGGCCATAAGGGGCAGTTCCCCCAGCAGAGACACCGCCATGCCAGCCACAGGGACATGCTGGTTCCCTCTGCAAACCAGGCCTCCCTCACCTGCCCAGGGCGGGAAGGAGCTGCCCCCGCTGCAGCTGGTCAACGCCTGGGTTCTTGCTGGGCCCGGTGCTCCCTCAGAGTTCAGACAATAGCTGAGAGCTGGAAGGGGGGCAGGGTCCCCTCTTCTCAGAGAGTGGCTATGGGCACCAGGACCCTCGCCACTAGGCACAGGAGCCACCATCCAAGGTCCTTTTGGTAGGACTTCTGCCCTGGGCTCCTTCCACCACCTCCAGGCAGCCCTCTGTGCCTGGTTCTCCTGATGGGCCACTACCAGATCATGTCCCTCCCCTGCTCCAAACTCTGCCATGGCTGCCCAGGAACCTCAGAGAGTGGGGGGAGGAAGCAAGCTCCTCCCTGGAACCCTCCCCAAGCCCTCACTGGCCTCCTCATGTCAAACTCTCCCTCCCCTAGTCCCTCACTCCAGCAACACCTACCACCCAGTAGACCTGCAAACACACCCAGTTGCGCCCCCACCTCAGGGCCTTTGCTCTTCTCATGCCTTCTGCCCAACTCACCGCAAGACACTCCTTTCCTTTCAGGCCTCAGCTCAGATGACACCTCCTTTGGGAAAGCCTCCTGCCCCTTCCCTTGGAGCTTGTTGAGATGGACAGGGAGAGACCAGGGCTGAAAGAGACAGAGGCAGCTTGTGGAGCTCATGGACGGCAGGCTCCCTGAGGACAGGACTGCTCTGTCTTCATTATTTTATTATCTTTTTTTTTGGCCATGCCACATAGCATGTGGAATCCTAGTTCCCCAAACAGGGATCAAGCCCACACCTACCTGCAAGGGAAGCACAGAGTTCTAACCACTGGACAACCAGGGAAGTCCCTAGTTTATCATCCTCTAAAATTTCATTTCAGGGGCTTCCCTGGTGGTCCAATGGCTAAGAATCTGCCTTGCAATGCAGGGGACACAGGTTCGATCCCTGGTCTGGGAAGATCCTACATGCCTCGGAGCACCTAAGCTGGTGTGCCACAACTACTGAGCCTGCACTCTAGAGCCTGTGCTCTGCAACAAGAGAAGCTACCACAGTGAAGAGCCTGAACTTCTGAACTAGAGAGTAACCCCCACTCAACGCAACTAGAGAAAAGCCCACACAGCAATGAAGACCGAGCACAGCCAAAAATTAATTAATTAATTATATTTCAAAAATCCTCAGTTTGGGAACAAAAATCCTGAATGGTGCTGCCAAAAAAAAAAAAACTACAGAAGAGGGTCCCCCCTCAGCTCCAGGATCAGGCCTGGCAGCCCTTCCTAGGGGCCTGGGGTGCTCAGACCTGGCAGAGCCCAAAGGTGTCCCAGCACTTCCCCCAATCCCTGAGGCTGTGGCTGGCATTCAGCAGGCGCTTAGATGGGGCCACCCGAGAGCTTCCGGACACTGGGAGTGGCCATGACGCGGCCCCTGAACTCCCAGGAGCCCTGACCTGGCAGCATCAGCTCACCCTTGATCCCAGACTCAGAGGGGTCAGGTGGCCTCCCACCTGAGGCCACAGAACAGGTCATGGTCAGTCAGGGCATGGGGTTCGGGGGGTTGGGAGCTGAGAATGAAGCTCCTAGCCTGGAAACCCCAACCTGGCCCCAGCTCCTCCTGTGTCTCTCTGTCTCTGTGTCTCCAAACCACCGTGTGGCCATTGGCCCCCATGACCTCTCTGGCCTCTGCCCCACACAGTCTCCACTCGGTCTCCTGGACCTCCTTTAGGAAAAGGAGATGGATGCACTTGGGGGTGGATGAGGGCAGGGATTTATGCAGCCCCCCTCCTCCCTGGGGACTGTCGGGTGCAGGCTGCCTGGCATGATGGGCAGAGTGGGGCAGGTCCAGGGAGGGCCCGGCCAGTGGACAAGGAGGATTTAGTGCCCCCACCGGGCTGCAGGCATCAGGTGGGTCCACCCCCAGGGCGGGCTCAGGGATCCCCCTCACCCCTTCCTTCCCCACTTTTGCACAGCAGGTGTGAACACACTCCTCTGGGACCACCCCCTCTGAGGTTGGGGACCACAGGCAGAAAGTCACCCTCCTGGGGGTCTGGACAGAAAATGGAGGGGTCATGGGCACAGGGAGACCCCCTTTATATGCTCGGCCTGCCCTCCAGTCACAGCAGCGGTGAGACTCCCGTCTGCAGGAGCGTGCCAGCCACCTTTAAGTGAAAGCAGGTGCAAGCCAGATGCTGTCCCCAGGTTGTGACATACAGTGCTGTTAGAGCCCTTTGGCAGATGCAGACACCGGGCTCAGCATGGGGTCACCTGAAGAGACTCAGGGTCCGTACTCTTGACCCCACTGGAGGTCTTCCCCTGGAGCTGCAGACGCCCCTCACTGGCTTGGGACCCGTACTTTACTTTTGGCCTCAGGGGGCCTTGACCTTGTGTGAGGGTTTAACGCACAAGGCATAGGATGGTTAAAGGGTTTTCAAAAGAACAGCACTCTCTCCATTAATTCCAAGGGAGGGGAAACGGCCCAAGCTCCCATCAATGGTGACAGATAAACACACGTGTCCTTCCACACCCAGGAATACCATGCAGCCTGGAAAGTGGTAAAGCTGTGGCACTGGCTACCACGTGGATGGACCCTGAGAACATGATGCTCAGGGAGAGAAGCAGACACAGAATGACACACAGGATATGATTCCACTGATGGGAAACGTCCAGAACAGGCCGATGCATAGACACAGAGAGTGGGTTTCTGGTTGTCAGAGGCTGGGGAGGGGGTGGGGGTGACTGCTGATGGGGATAGGACTTCTTTTGGGAAGGATGAAAATGTTCTAGAATTGATTGTGTCCATGGACACATAACCTTGTAAATAGAGTAAAACAAATGAACTATACACTGTAAATGAATGAACTGTAGGATATGTGAGTACCTCGGACTTCTCTGGTGGTCCAGTGGATAAGAATCCACCTGCCCATACACAGGACATGGGTTTGATTCCTGGTCCAGGAAGACTCCACATGCCGTGGGGCAACTAAGTCTGTGTCCTGCACCTACTGAGCCTGCACTCTAGAGCCCGTGCTCTGCAACAAGAGAAACCACTGAAATGAGAGGCCTGAGCACTGAAACAAAGAGTAGCCCCCGCTCATTGCAACTAAAAAAAGCCCATGTGTAGCAACAAAGACCCCCCAACAAAAAATAAAGACCCCCCAAAAATAGTAAAAGATATTAGTATCTCAGTAATGTTGAAACCGTGGCATTCGCTTCTGTCCTGTGTCCCTGTCCTCCCTGACTTTGGATGTCCACCCCCAGGTAAGGCATAATTTCACCCTCAACCAGGTCCACATGCAAGGCTTTGTCTGGAAGATTTGCAAGTAGTGATCCTCCCATCTCCAGAGGCATGCAAGCAGAGAGCAACAAGCTGTGAGCAGGGCTCCCTGCCCTGGGTGACAAATGGCCTCTGACTCAGGCTGAGCCTGAAAATCGGGAACTCCTGGCTGCTAAAAGTCCCTAGTATCTCGGACCATCCTGCCTGATGCAGAAGCCCCAGGGGTGAGAGCTCTGCTGAGATGGCACCTCAGGCCTAGCAGGGCCGCTGCCACTGCACGTACATACATGTATGTTCACATGCACACATATAAATATTCGAGGAATTTTCCCTTCTTTTCTTCCAGTAAAGGAGACTGTCATGGTCACGGGGCATCGGTGACACCGTGGATTTCACGGTACTTTCATCACCGCAGGCCCGGCTCACAAAGGCCCCTCTAAGCCCTCTCGTCTATTCTCTACATGGGAGCCTCCTGGTTTCCTATTAACTTCAAAAGTCTCAATCCCATTAGGGTGGGGGCAGAGGGACAGCGGGCCATCCGGGGGCCCTGGGGACCCTCACTAGGCTGGCGGTGCTCCTGCAGGTCTGAGGATCTCTGACAAGCACCATCCCCGCCTCACCATCACCGGAAGCCACAGCCAGATGCTGAGCTGCCCACAAGGGCCATTCCTTCCGGGCAGGGATGCTGGGCGGGTAACAGGGTCCACATGTCTAGGGGTTCAGCTGACATCACCTAGAGTAGCTGAGACCCCACTCTCTGGAGTCCCGACTTACACCATACCACCCAAACCTCCATCTCATTACCTGGGGATGGGGCCAATCTCATGCACCCAGCCTTTGCCTGCCCTTCCGTTCCCATCTGAGCCAGGACCCTCCTGAGGATGACGTGATCCCACCCTGTGGCAGCAGGGATGTCCGGCCATGCCCTGGAATCCAGATTAACCCCAAGGGCAGTCGGGAGCCACAGATTTAGGCAGAGGAGGGTCATGGTCTGATTTGGGGATTTTTACAAGTGCCCTGGTTGCCCCGGGAAGCAGGGAGTGTCCGGCCTCTCCCAGAACGGAGTCCTGCATGAGGGAAGTGCACTGATTCCATGTGTGTTGTACTAGAGGGGGACAGTTGGGGGGGGTGGGGGAAAATTGTAGATCCCTGTGGGACCCCAGCCTGGAAGTGCTGGCCACAGGGAGGGTCAGTTCCAGTGGCCTATGTATGATATTGGGACATGGATCTCATCAGGACCTTGACTAACATAGAGAAAAGGACAGGATGAAATGGGAACATCCACACATGGGAGCATCATTCAGCCATGAAAAGGGGATGAAGCCCTAACACTCACTACTGCATGGAAGGACCCTGAGAACATGATGCTCAGTGAGGGAAGCAGACACAGGACACACAGGGTGTGATTCCACTGATGGGAAACGTCCAGAACAGGCAGATCCACAGACAGAGAGTGGGTTCCTGGTTGTCAGGGCCTGGGGGAGGAGATGGGGGTGACGGTGATGGAGACAGGGTCTCTTTTGAGGGGGATAGAATGTTCTGGAATTAGACAGACGTCATAGTTGCACAACAGAGTGAATGGACTTGAAAACAGTGAACTGCCCACTTTGAACAGGTGAACTACGTGGTGTGTGCATTTATAGTTCTTCTGGGTAAGAACATACCTCTCACTCTGTTGGTGTACAAGGTAGCCCTTTTTCAAGCACGTCTGTCTCCTGAACTCGACCGTGACTTTCTGGAGGGAGAGGAGCACAACCCCCACCTCATTTTTAATAAATATTGTGGACTGAAAGTGAGAATGGGTCGGCACATTGAGGGGGCTAACTTTTGCCTGGCTGGCCCAGGGTTGTCACACACAGGAAGGGAACATCTGTGCAAGGGCCCCGAGGCAGGGACAAACAGAACAGGATGGCTGGGGGCAGGGAGCAAGGAGGAGAGGTGGCCTATGGGGAGAAGGTGGGTGTCAGATTTCTGGCTCTCAGTGCAGGAACCTGTGTAGGAAAGCGACTAGGGACTTGATTCAGGGGTCGAGCAGGGTAGCTCGACAATGCTGGGGCCCCAGGGCTGCCCCCAGAGCAGCTGGTGTGCAGGGGGGAACGAAGCATGTGTTTTGGGGGATCCCCCCACAATGGAAACAAGCAGGGGTGCCAGGGCAATGTGGCCTTTCTGTGGTCCAGGACACAGATGGGCTAATCACACCACAGTGGGGACCCAGGTGTGCTCATGACATAGAAGGGGTCATGAGGACCACAAAGCATTAATTGCACAGATGCACCCCAGATGTGACCACAGTACAGAGGGGAATTTCACATGTGCTAATTACACAGAGGGAGCCCCGTATGTGCTAATTACACAAAAGGGGATCCACATGTGCTAACTGCAGAAAAGGAAACCCATATGTGCTACTTACACAGCTCAGTGACTCAGTCATGTCCTACTCTTTGCAACCCCATGGACTGTAGCCTGCCAGGCTCCTCTGTCCATGGGATTCTCCATGCAAGAATACTGGAGTGGGTTGCCATGCCCTCCTCCAGGGGAGCTTCCTGACCCGGGAATAGAATTCATGTCTCTTGCATCTCCCGCATTGCAGGCAGATTCTTTACCACTGAGCCACCTGGGAAGCTCCAATTACACAGAGGGAGCCCCAGATATGCTGTGAGTGACCAAACCCTCTGGACCTCAGTTTCCTTTTCTGAGAGATGGGTCTTCCAAGAGGATGCAGCTAGAAGCCACTCCTCAGAGGGCAGATGGAGCTAGTGCAGGCAGGAGGGAGTGGGGGTGAGGGGGTGGGGGAGGCTGGGGGTTCCTGTTGGGGATGGATCCAGCCCTGAGCTTCTGGGAGGCAGGGGACAGCCTGGGGCCAGTGGTAACACCTGAGCCCACTCAGGCCATCCACATTTTGAGCCTTCCTGCTCCATCCCTGCCCAGGCCATACCTGGACGCCCCAGCCTCCCCCTGGCCCACAGGGGCCCTCACTCCTGCCTGTGCTGGGAGCTTGGAAACAAAGTAACTTAACCATACCACTCTCCCACTCTCACCCACCATGGCTTCCCAGTACCCTCTGCACAAAACTAAAGTGCATCACCCTGTCCTATGGCATAGGAAGGTCTGGAATGGGGGTGGCCTGCAGCCCACCTTGGGGTGGGGGGAAGCTGCCCCCTGCTGCAGAACGCTCAGCCTGCTCAGGATCCCTCAGGCTCCAGGCCAGCTGCAAGGCCACCTCCTCAGAGAAGCCCACCTGTCTGCCCTGACACTGAGTCCGTGCCTGGGGATGGGAAGCTGGTCCTGAGGACTTGACCCCAAAGGATTCTCGAATGCCCCTGCACGCTGGAGGCAGGCAGCCTCAACCTCCCCAGACACCTGCATCCGCAGGAGGCAGCCGGGTCAGGAATCGGGGGTCAAGGTCGGGTCGGTGGTGGGACCTCACCGAGCACTCCGGACCCGCCCTTCGCGTCCCCCACGCGCACCCTTCCCCGGCTGTCCCGGCCCGGGGGGCGGCTCGCTTCCCTGTCTGCAGGGCAAGGGGCTTGAGCGCGGAGCCGTCCGGGATTCCGTGTTCCAGAGCGCGCGTCCTCCCGCGCGGCGTCTCCGCCGGCCTCCTCGCTCCACCTAGCGGCGGCGGGAGCCGGAGCCGCGTGGGGCCCAGGGAGGGCACGGGGCCGCTGGGCACACAGCCTGGGTCGGGCCCCAGGAAGGGCGCAAGGCCATTGGGCGCACAACTGGGTATGCGCGAGGGGACCACCAGGCGCGCCACTCGGGTTGGGGCCAGGGGTACCACCTCCCTGGGCGTACACCAGCGGGGATGGGGTGTCACCCCCCTCCCCACCAGGTGCACAGGGCAGGTCCAGGCCCGAGCAGGGCTGCAGGATGTGTTCACAGCCAGGAGAAGGGAGCTTCATACCCTCCTCCACCTTATTCTGAGAGTGAAGAGTCTCCCACAGTCTCTTGTTACAAAGTGGGAAACAGAGGCACAAAAGGGACAGGCATGACCCAAGGTCATCCAGAAGGACAGGTGAATTCAAGTCAAACTCCAGGGACTCTAGACCCAATTTATGTCCTTCCTCACCCCGGAAATTGAAGGGGTCCTGGAGCCCCTGAATAGCTGGGAGGAGGAGAGGGGTGGCTGGATTGTGGGGGGGGGGGTGGCGGGTACAGTATGGTGACTGACAGTGCACTGCAGAAGGTGCGATGGGCCCTACCACCGTCCTGCCTGGGACCCTGGGACATATCTGAGTGTGGACCAAACCCCAGCTCTGCCAGACGATAGCCCTGGCCAGAGACCCCCTCTTTGGCTTCAATTTTCAATCTTCCCCCAAGCAGTCAGTGGTAAAGAATCTTACTGCAGAGCAGAAGGCACAGGAGATGTGGGGAAGATCCCCTGGAGGAGGAAATGGCAACCCCCTCCAATATTCTGGCCCGAGAAATCCTATGGACAGAGGAGCCTGGTGGACTACAGTCCATGGGGTGGCAAAAGAGTCAGACATGACTGAGCACATAAAGGGTAGTTGTGAGATCCAGGGAGATGAGGCAAACAGTTGGCACTAAATAAATGCTGTTGATTAACATTGAGTAATACTGTCACTGGGCTCCTCCAGGCTTCCCCTGCCAGATCTCCTAAACTGCTCCTGCCACACAGGCCTCCCTGTGTTCCTACAGCTGCCTCGGGGCCTTTGCATGTGCTACCCCTCCCCACCCCAACCCCTCCAGGCCCAATTAACTTGCCCTGAAGAGGAACTAAAAAAACCTCTTGATGAAAGTGAAGGAAGAGAGTGAAAAAGTTGGCTTAAAGCTCAACATTCAGAAAACTAAGATCATGGCATCTGGTCCCATCACTTCATGGGAAATAGATGGGGAAACAGTGGCAGACTTTATTTTTGGGGGCTCCAAAATCACTGCAGATGGTGATTGCAGCCATGAAATTAAAAGACGCTTACTCCTTGGAAGGAAAGTTATGACCAACCTGGATAGCATATTTAAAAGCAGAGACATTACTCTGCCAACAAAGGTCTAGCCAAGGCTATGGTTCTTCCAGTGGTCATTATGAATGTGAGAGTTGGATGCTGAAGAAAGCTGAGCACCGAAGAATTGATGCTTTTGAACTGTTGTGTTGGAGAAGACTCTTGAGAGTCCCTTGGACTGCAAGGAGATCCAACCAGTCCATCCTAAAGAAGACCAGTCCTGGGTGTTCATTGGAAGGACTGATGCTACAGATGAAGCTCCAGTACCTTGGCCACCTCATGCGAAGTTGACTCATTGGAAAAGACCCTAATGCTGGGAAGGATTGGGGGCAGGAGGAGAGGGGGACGACAGAGGATGAGATGGCTGGATGGCATCACAGACTCGATGACATGGGTTTGGGTAGACTCCAGGAGTTGGTGATGGACAGGGAGGTCTGGCGTGCTGCAAATCATGGGGTCGCAAAGAGTCGGACACGACTGAGTGACTGAACTGAACTGAGCTGATTAAGCCCATCTCAATTTTGTCTACTTTGGTTCCCACCATGTTCCCAGCATCCCGTGTAGGATCTGGCATACAGCTGGCACTCACGAAATGCAGGAGGTCAGATGAAACAGGCCTGACCCCAGGCTGCTTTCCCCTCCCCATTTCATTATTTCCAGGAAACTGAGGCCCAGAAAGGGGGCAGCAACTGACACCAGACACAGGTGCTGGGACCTGGGGGTGGGCAGGCTGAGGAAGCCACCACCTCCTCTTCCCCAACCCCAGCCCCCACGGAGGGCCAGGCTGCAGAGGCAGAGACCAGGCCAAATTGAAATTGATCGTGGGGAACAGCTCGGCAGGGTGGAACAGACACGCGGCCGCCGGGGAGTGCAGGGGCGCCCGAGCGTGTGAACGCATCCCAGCCAGCCAGCGGTGGGGAATCGTTTAATCTTCAGTGCAGGCTCCTAGCAGCAGCCTCCAAGGAGCCGGCAGTCTAAGTCGCCTCAGCTGCCAGAAGCCAGGACACCTGCCTCCCCTCATCCTTTCACCCCATTCTTCCTCGGGCATTTAGCAAGCATCTGCTTATTATCTCAGTCTCTCCTCAGCCAGCCCTGCCAGGCCAGTAGAAGCAGAGAGAGGCAGAACGCTCCTGCACAGTGGCCCTAGGTCAGGACCAGAGTCAGGGTTGACGTCCAGCACCATCCAGAGCTGCATCTATTGAGCGCCAGCTGTATGCCCAGCACCGGGCTCAGCCTGATTACTGCGTTTCCTCATTTTATCTTCACAACAGCCCTGGCCACCAGGGGAGGGCCAGAGAAGAAGGTGGCTTACCCGTGGACTCACCCCTGGGGAGGGGGAACTGAGATGAGAAGCCAGGCCACGGAGCTTGATGGCCAAAGCTTTCATCACTGTTTCTGCAGCCTTTGTCTGGGTGGGGAAAACTGTCTTGACATAAGTGGGAGCAATGGAGGGATCTAGATTAGAAGAGGGCAGTCCAATCAGAAAGCCCCTCCCTCACTCCAGGCCAGGGTCTTTGGCGGCCTATCCAGAGGGGACACCAGGGCCATGTACCTTCTTAGCCATCCCTCAGCCCGGAGGGGTGCACTGAGGCACAGAGCCACTTGGGAGTTGGGACCCCCAGCGTGGCGGTAAGCCGCCTTCCAAGACCCCCAGCTTTTCTAGAGTTTCATTTTCAGAGCCCATTTTCAGGCTCAAAAAGGGCAGCTGCTGGCCTCTGGTCACCAACCAGAAGGTGGCAGGGCCTTGGGGCTGCTGACAGCTCTGCCGGCCCTCAGTTTCTTCTGTGGGCCTCTGCAGGGTGGTGACCGGACACGTGGCCAAGGGGACTGATGTGTTCTCCAAAGCCCCTGTGACCCTGACCCGGAAGCCCCCCTTGGTGCCTGGAGTGAGGGTCACACCCGGGCCCATCTCTCAGGGCCCCTCCCAGTGAGGGCCTCAACTCTGGGATTAGGGGGCCGGGGTCAGGGGTCAACAGCATTTGCCTCGGCTCCTTTCAGGCCTCCAGCAGATCCGTTCTCCCTGCCACCTCGAATTTCCTGGACAAAGGCTCAGTGGTGGGACTGGGCGGAGGGCCGGGCCAAGCACCCCTGGGAAAAATGCAGCAGCTCAAGGAAGGTATCTGCCCCCGCCCCATACTTCTGCCCACACGGCCCCATCAATCCTCAGACTACCTACGGGCAGCCATGGCGGACACACCCATGCTACAGATGGGGAAACTGAGGCTGGGGAGGGGCTCAGCTGGGGCTCCAGGCCAGAAGCTGCTCTGCCAAAGGCCCAGTGGAGTTTTGTGCCAGCCTTGCCTGTTGAGCGCCGGGCTGGGAGCTGTGCTGTGCAGTGCTGGAGGCGGTGTCTGTGAAGGCAGGCGGGGCTGGTGGAGGACAAAGGCGGGCAGGCCTGGCCCGCGGGGGCGCGTTCCGCTCGTCAGCGTCGGTTCCACTTGAGTCCATCCTGGACAGGCTGGAATAATCCCTCCCTCGACCACTGCTGGGCCGTGACGACTTGAAGGGGCCCCGCGGGCCTGACTGACGGCCAGGCCGATGGGGCGGGCACCTGGGACCCCCCCTACACCCCCTAGTGCTGGGAACAGCCTCAAGCCATCACTGATGACAACGCGGGGAAACTGAGTCACAGGAGGGGACACATGACCTCTTACATCACACAGCGAGGGCTGGCAGCCCATCGAGGCCCAGACCCCAGGTCAGCTTTACCAGGGCCTTCCCATCCCCGCTGGCCACACAGCCTCGCTGGTGACCTGGGGGAATTTTGGGGCCTGGACCCAGCTGAGTCATGGGAACCACCGGCCTCCTGTTCATTTCCCAGCACCTGGGAGGCAGGTACACACAGGTGGCTGGACCAAAGCCAGGCCAGGGGCCCAGGGAAGGCCCCACTGGCTGCTGCCAAGGCTGGTAGACACGGCTAGCTGCCATGTGCTCAGGCCGCTTGGCAGGGCGCGCCTCCTCCTCCGCTGCACCTGGGTGCCTGGAAGGGATTCTGTAGGGAGGGATCAACGACCTCAGGAGGAGAGGAGGAAGCAGCTGGGCCAAGGATAATTAGCAGACTCGTGGAGCATGAAGGTCAGATGGGGTCAGAGGGAATGTGGGGACCACGCTGGGGAAACTGAGCCCCAGAGGGAGGTGGCCTTTGAGGGTCAGTGTTCCGCAAAGGATGCTGGAAGGAGGACAGGGATGGGGGACAGGGGCCAGTTGGGCTAAAAACCTCACAGGGCTCTCTTGTTGCCCCTCAGAAGGAGAGACTAGATTCTTTTCTGCCAGCCTCCTCCCACACCAACCTCGGCCCTTCCTGGGCTCCAGCCTTCACTGCCTCCACCTGCGGCAACCTCCTCATGGACTCATCCTTCGTCCAGCGGGCATCTATCTCCCACCAGATCCCAAGCTGCCCAGGTGGCGCTAGTGGTAAAAAAAACCCCCTGCCAGTGCAGAAGCCACAAGTAGATGCAGGTTCGATCCCTAGGTTGGGAAGATCCACTGGAGAAGGAAATGGCAACCCACTCCAGTATTCTTGCATCGAAAATCCCATGGACAGAGGAGCCTGGCAGGCTACAGTCCATGGGGTTGCAAAGAGCAGACATGACTGAGCACATACGCACGCACACAGACCCTAAGCTGCCCAGGCCCCAGGCTCCCTCCTTATTGTTCACTCTTTGCCCTCAGCACTGGTCTTCGCAAACTGCAGGTGCTCAATAAAGGCATTCTTAAAGCACAAAGGAATTGTTGTTGTTTAGTTGCTAAGTTGTGTCCGACTCTTTGCAACCCCATGGACTGTAGCCCACCAGGCTCCTCTGTCCATGGGGATTCTCCAGGCAAGAATACTAGAGTGGGTAGCCATGCCCTCCTCCAGGGGATCTTCCAGACCCAGGGATCAAACCTGCGTCTCCTGCATTACAGGCAGAATCTTTACCTTCACTCTGGTTCTATCTGGGCCTCAGACCCTTGCTGAACACAGGTCCTGGCTTCCGCAGAGTGAGATTGCTCCCCCACTGCCCACCCCTAGGGACAGCTTCCCCCAACCCTCCAGGGGCCTCACTCTGCTAATCCACTAGCCAGCCTGCGCCTCGGTTTCCCCTCCCAGAGGCCTAATCCCAGGATTGTGGAGGCTGGTTTTACATACATTTAGAGGCTTTTCATAATAGATTTACTGGGCCCCAGAACGGCCCTTGCTGGGTGATTAGCTGCTCCTTAATTGAAAACTCCCTTTCCGCCCCCTCTGGCCCTCCGGGCGGAGCTCAGGCAGAGGGATGGGGCCCGGGAGCACCCCTCAGCCATGTGGGCCCCACAGGGGCCTCCCCCTGAACTCAGAGGGGGTCTCTCTCACGGCCAACCTGACGGGGGGTGGGGGGGATTACCTTAGGATTGTTACCTCCGGGAGGGGAGGGGCCCAACCAGGATTCAAACCTGTTGTGTCCCAGCCCCACGTCCAGTGCCATGGACTGGGTGGGGGTGGGGGGGTCTCATCCAGTACGTCCAGGTCCTGGACGCACACCCTAGGCTCAGAATTCAGGTCTCAGACCCAGATTTTGCTGACCCCTAAAGTCCCCCCAGGTCCCCAGCAGGCTCCAGGGGAGCTGGGATGTTTCCCAATAGAATGAAGGGCGGTCCAGGGGCAAGAAGCCAGCAACGCCTCCCCAACCCCCACCCCAGCCACTGCTGCAGGGTCCCCAACCGGGCGACTTAATTCCGCCTGTCACCAAGATGTGGGCTGGGTTATTTATCTGGTGTATATATGTATTTTAATTTAAAGATCTGCCAGCCAGCAGGGCTGACTCCTGTGGTGCCCCCTCTGCCCCCCTCGTCTGAGAGAGGCTATTCCCCACTACCTCCCCACACCCAGGCCTTCCCTGAGGAACCAGCGCCAGAGAAGGAGGCCAGTGCCTCCAGCCTTGCTGGTAAGCAGAAGAAACTCTCAATTTGGAGTCCATGCACCAAACACATTCAGTAAGTCATTCAATAAATGTTCAGTGGGGGCTGGCTGACATTGTGCCAGATGCTGGGGCCACCGGGGGTGGGGGAGAACTGAAAGTCCTGCCTTTATGGGGCCATTCAGGGCATCGAGAATCCCCCAGGCAAGGAACTTCCCTGGTGGTTCAGGGAAGACTGGCTAAGACTCCACGCTCCTGATGCAGGGGACCCAGGTTCGATCCCTGATTGGGGAGGTAGATCCCATATTGTTGTTCAGTTGCTCAGTGGTGTCCAACTCTTTGCAACCCCATGGACTGTAGCACACCAGGCTCCCCTGTCCTTCATTATCTCCTGGAGTTTGCTCAAACTCATGTCCATTGTGTAGATGATACCATCCAATCATCCCATCCTCTGTCCCACTCTCTCAAGTAAAGGGTCCTGCATGCCTCTGCTGGGACCCGGCACAGCCAAATAAATAAAGGAATTTTAAAAAGACTTTAAAAAAAAGAAAAAAAGAACCCCCCACCCCAGGCAGAAGCCCCAACATGTGCCATTTTCTGGGCCAGCAAACTGAGGTTCTGAGAAGAGCGATGACTCAAGCATGGTGGGTGGCAGAGCCGCTATGATGGAACCCCAGTCTGCCTGATGCCTATAGCTATGCCCTCGGCCAGGTAGGGCACTAACCTCTCTGTGCCTCAGTTTCCCCTCCTGGCCACCGGACGTCTCTAACCTCAGCGGGGCTGCAGGCATGATGCATGATGCTAATAAAGACCCCCGGGTGCGCGGGGCCGGGGGCGGCGCTGCGTCATTAACACTCGGCCCGGAGGGGAGCAGGATATTGCAAACCATAACTCTGGTGCGCCTGCCGGGCGGCGCGGAGGCAGAAGCGCGGAGGGAGGGCCCTTTCGGCTTGCCCCCCGCAGCAGGGTAATAGCAGGCTCTTATTTTTGCCGCTTAAGGAGGACTCCCAACGCCCGTCCTGCCGCCGCGCCCCTCCCGCTCAGGCGCCCCAGCCGAGCCGCTGCGGAGGGTTCTGCCGATAATAAAGACTCCGGACCCGCCTGAGCCGCTGGCTGCCTCCCTCCCCATCCACCCCTCGCTGACGGCCAGGTGCCAGCTGTGGGGCCCCCTCCTCCGGCCTCAGTGTTTCATCTGTAAAATGGGTCTCAGCTGGGTCTCTTCTGCTAGTAGAGAGGTCAACTGAGGCCCAGCGGGGAGTGGGGGGGCGTTCCCAGTGGAGAGAGAGGCTGAGTGCGGGCTGGGACCCAGGCCTTGCACCACTTCGCACACCTGGGGAACTTGACTCCTGGGGAAGCCGACTGCTCGACCTTGCCTGCCCGTCCTCCCCTACCCCCAACACCGGAGCTCACGCCCCCACTTCGTAAACGCGGAAACTGAGGCCCAGAGCGGGGTCTTCAAGGACGAAGTGACGCCCTTTCTCAAGCGAAGGCGCGCAGGGGACCGTGGCGCGGGTGGGATAGGGGACCCGCCTGGGCGGCGGGGCGCAGTGGGCGGGGCCTCACTGGAGGGGTGGGACCCTGTCCTAAGTGTTGGGGAGCCACGCAGGGATTGGAGCAGAGGAAGGGGTGTGGGAGCCGGGACCTTGGGTTCCGCTGCGTGGGGTGGTGTGCCCGGATGCCCCTCCTATCTCAGGGTCAAGGCCTTTTCCGGTGGGGGCCGCCAGCCTCAGTCCCCACTGCCGTCCCCCCACCCCCCCGCCCGCCCGCGGGTCCCAGGGGCCGCAGGAGGCTTTTCAGCACTTAGAACTGCAAACTTTGTGAGGGGAGCGGCTGGCTCTCCGGCCCCAACTCCAGCCCGCCCGAGGGTCCCCGGGACCCAGCACCGCCTCTTGCCTCTTCTTCCTCCCATCGGGCGCTGTGGGGGTGGGACAACGCCCCGAGGCTGCCTCAGTCCCCCCCACCCCATCCCGCCGCCTCAACAGGTCAGTGCAGACCCCTGAATCAGGGAAGCCACGGAGGAAGGAGGCCCAGGGGACCAGAGACTCTGAGGGCGCCATAGACAATAGCGTCCCCACGCCCTCTGCCTCTCTGCGCACCATCCTTGCACAGAGGGGCGGGAACTGGTGGATTTGTCCACCCCCAGGGCTCAGGCCCTGAGGGGCCCAGGTCCTGGGGTGTGCCCCCCCATTCTACCCCGCACAGCCTGGTGGGAGAACCTGTGTTTCTTGGAGGACTTGCAGGGTGGCACCCACCCTGGCTGCTGTGGGGAGACCCAGGCCTTGTCCATCTCCGGCTGCCCTGGGCCCAGCTCAGATCCAACTCCCAGGTCCCAGGGAGGCCTGGGACTCACCCTAGATCCACCCTCATTGACCTGTGGGGCCTCAGTTTTCCCCCTCTGCACAGGAGAGGGGTCTCCTCCACCACTCATCCATCCCCTTCCCCAGGGACTGCATCGTCCATTAGGACTCATAGGTCGTCTCTGGGCCTCAGTCTCTGTTTAGGGATCAATGGGGCAAGTCAGGGCTGTCGGGCAGGCGGCCCCCTGGGAGAGTCTATCCCTCAGAGGAAGGGGTCCGGCCCCCAACCTCCCTGCCTCCACCCCGAGGTTCCCAGCTGGATCCCGAGAGCAAGGAGAGGATGGCTGGGGTGCAGTTCTCCTGCAGCAGGCGACAGTGCAGGGAGGAGACAGGGAGGGTCAGTGGCCTCCGGAACACCTCCCTGGGGGAAGCTGAGGCCTCAGGCTCAGCAGACCCCACCCAGAGTTCACTCCTCCTTCCTGGCCTCCAGTCCTGCCCCAGAGCCTCCTGTGCACACCCCCGCCAGCCAGCTCTTTGCCCCTGCCCCCTCCCTCCCAGCCTCCCACAAGACCACGCAAAGCAGTGCCTGAATCTCCAGCAATCTGTCCCTGTCCTGCACCTGCCCTGAGCCCCACATTTGAGCCCCTCCCTCCCCTCTCCAACTGCCTTGCCCCAGCCCTAGTGATCATCTCCAGTATAGGTCCAATAAAGGCCATCGCCAGCAAGCCGGGATGGGAAATTGAGTGTGGGAGGGTCTCCTGGCTCCCGCCTACACAACTGCCCATCTCAGCCTCACCGGCCTCACTAGCCCAGCTGTAGCCTCTTATTAATTTCCAGCTTGTATGTCATCTTGTGGTGATTTATGGCTCCTTGGGGGCTCCCAGATTGTGAACTCACTTTTTGTCTGTGCATGGCAACCTGCAACCAGGTCCAGAGTGCCCATCACTGTGGCCTCCTCCCATGACCCATATGCCCCCAAATATGGGGCCCAGGGGCCATCGGGGCAGGACTCAGCATCCTCGCCCTGACCCCACAGGCTGAGGGAGGGCTCAGCACTGACGGCACACAGGAGGCGCTCACTGAACCCGCACTGAGGATGCTGACACTGACGCGGGAAACGTGGACGGCGGGACATCGTGTCGGAGGGTCCCTGAGGGAGCAGGTGTCAGGAGGGAGGAGGGGGTGGAGGCACCTGGAGAGGGGAGGTGAGCCCAGGGCCTCTGGAACAGTGGCCTTTCCTCCGATATGACCCACTGTGTGGCTGTCGTCAAGGGACTTGATCAGACCCCCTGAAAGCCAGGGTGGTCCCCATCAGTCCGGAGGGCAATGTGTGAGCCCCTTCTGTCATGGTCCCAGAGTTGGGGGCCAAAGGCATGGCCTGGGGCTTCTTCTCAGACTAGATGGGGACACAGCAACCCAGAGGGGAGGGGCTGCGGTGCCTTCCTGTGACTGTGGGCATTGACCCCCCAAACCAAGATGTCCACAGATCAAAGAGGTACCTGACCAGGAAGCCCAGCTCCACCCAAGAGTGACAGTTATGATGTGAGGGGAACCTCAGGGTTCTCCCACCCCGCCTCCCAACCCTCTTTCCGTGGGGAACCTCCAGGTACACACAGGACCCACATACCCATGGCCGCCTGGGGTACCTGTGTCCAGTGCAGCCCCAGGAGTGGGGGCCACCCTGCACCTTGGTGTGGGCTTTCAAGGCCATTACCAGTAGCCAGTGATGGACGGCGTGGTTCCTGAGAGACCTAGGTCCCAAATGCAAGCACCTCTCCATACAGGGGGCGCACAGGTGGGCAAGGCTGTGTAGTTTCTCTGCATATGTGTGTATGTGTGTCTGCGCCCGTGGCAGATGACAAGTCCCAGAGGAGACACAACTGTGGACCAGTCCTCCTCCCCTCTGGGGACTCAGCCCAGAGGGAAGATGGATGGACAAGGAAAACTATCAGAGATTTAGCAGCAGGGGGGGTGTGGGGTGAGGGCTGTTTGACCAGGGAGGTCGAGAGGGGACATGGGACATATTTAAAGGGGGTTGGGGAGAGAGCCAGGTGTGGTCTGCTGGGGGAACATGTGCAAAGACCCCAATGTGTGAACAGAGCTCTTTGTACTTACCCATCCCAGGTCACCTTTTGTGTTAAAACTTTGTCTCAAAAATAACAAAATCCTCATAATAGCTAAAAGCAAACAACCCAAATGTCTGTAAGCTGGTGGATGGACAGAATGTCACCCTTCCACATATTGGAATATTACTCGGCCCTGAAAAGGAGAGAGGCCCTGACACTTGCTACCATGTGGATGGTCCCTGAGAACAGTATGCTCAGGGACAGAAGCAGACACAGAAGGACACACAGGGTGTGATTCCACTGATGGGAGACATCCAGGCCAATCCACAGACACAGAGAGTGGGTTCCTGGTTGTCAGGGGCTGGGGCAGGAGTGGGGTTATTTTGGGGGTGATGGATTGTTCTGGAATCAGATAGTAGTGATGGTTGCTCAACCCTGTAAATGAATAGAAATTGTGGAATTGCACTTGAAACGGATGGCTTGTGTGGTATGTGAATTATATCTCAATAAAGTTTTTAGTAACAAAATCAAAATAAGCTGCTATGATTCTGCCCCACAATCCTCGCATTTAACCCTCTTTCGCCAGTTTCTTCCAGCCCTGTGGTCGAGTTGGGGTGTTTGGGTGAGGGGTCTCGGGAAGGGTGGGCAAAGGAAGACTCGGAGTGCAGGGGTCCCTTGGCTCTCCCTCCGTGGCACTCTGCACAGTGGCCACCCTGCATCCCCTGATGCTGGGCAGGGCGGGTGGGGCATACACAGGGGTCTTTGTGTCGCTTGCTGGCCTCATTAAGAGGCAGCCCCCGTCGCTGGACCCAGCACGACCGAATTAATTAGCCGAGAGCCTTCCCTCTCCACTAATTGTGCCGGGGATGCTACAGTCCCCTCGGGTGGCACTGGGGCAAGGAGCAGCCCCGAGGCCCCCTCCCTCAGCCCCACTCTGTGCCTCTCCTGGGCCAGGCTGGGGTGAAGGCCCCTGGGACTCCAGAACCCTCTGATACATGCTGTTTGGAAGCCAGGAGGGGATTCGAGAAGACAGACAAACCTCCACGCTGGCCTGGAGTCACTGGGGACACTGAGTCACACTTTGGCAGAGCTTGGCACCAAGATAACATGGAACTTTTTTTTCCCATCGTTTTATTATTTGGCTGCACCAGGTCTTAGCTGTGGCATGAGAGATCTTCAGTCTTCACTGTGGCACTCAAGATCTTTAGCTGTGGCATGTCAGATCTAGTACCCTGATCAGGATCAAACCCAAGCCCCCTACATTGAGAGCTCAGAGTCTTGGGCAGTGGACCACCACACATAGAACTTGGTAGGATCCTAAGAGACCTGTCATAGAACCTGGGGACCGCCCCCCAGCGTGAATGAGGGGTACAGGAAACGACTGGCCCTGGGGTCTGAGGATTCCAACCTGCTCAGGTGCATTGGGTGGTGGACACTTAATAAGCCCCTGCTGTGTACTCAAAGGCAGCCCCACCACTTCCTGGCCTCCCCATAGCTGCCCCAGGGAGAAGGGGCTTGTTTCCATT